ATGGAAGAAGTAGAATAGGAAATGAGGATTGCGGCAACCTGACCACAACCTCCATCATCCCATGACTTTCCCCCACCCACTGGCATCAAATCGAGTTTGAACATTTTATTGTATATACACAACGTACTATAAGTATGTAACTAAATTGTGTATCGCTTCATGATATCTATATTTATATACTTAATTGTATGTATGTATGTATATAGTTTTTATTATATGGTGCTTGGAATTTAATGTGGAGGTATAGGAAGGGTCATGTAATTAGGAGCAGCAGTTCGGTAATCAAGGCGACCCGACTCAAGTCCCGACATCTCGTGGGAGCTGCTCAATCAATTACATTCGCTTCATCTGGCCGGCATAATATTTCTGTATTGACACATGTTTTTTCAATTAATAAGCAGTTTTAAAAACTTACACGTACTACATACTTATTAGAAAATATAAATTACTCTACCTAGGACTAAAACTATGACAAAAATCCAAAATAGAACTTGTTATGTTTTTATTCCAAAATAGGATTATATAACTCCTATTGGAAACATACCTATTTTTTCATTCCATTCTTACCCCTCCTATAAATATGGTTAAAAGATGAGTTAGATCCCTAAATAGGACTAAAACAATAAACAAGTGCACAAATAGGACTTCCATGTTTCATAGGACTAAAAATGTACTCCCTCCGTCCCGGAAAATTAGTCCCACTTTGACTTGGATCGGAGTTTAAGAAAGTGGGAATAAAGTGGAAATGTATGGTTGTGGTTGAGTAAGAAAAAGGTAAATGAATGTTAGCCACACAAAACTTTCCAAAAATGGAAATGGGAACAATTTTTTGGGACGGCCCAAAAAGGAAAATGGGACTTATTTTATGGGACGGAGGGAGTATTTAGTTGACAAAATTGCCCTTAATGATTTCTAATCTATTTACAATTAAAAAAAACAATAAAAAAACAACCCTAGCAAATCCCCCAGCTTTTGACGGAACAAAACCACCCAACTGCCGCCGCCAGTAAACAATATGCCACCACCCAACCACCTCCCTTTCTGGTGCCGCCACCGCTGACCTTACCAATGTTTCCGCCGCTCTTTCCGATGCTACCACTCCACCCACTGCACGTGCAACCACCGCTGACCTTTCCGATGTTTCCGCCGCTCTTCCCGATGCTACCACTCCACCCACTGCACGTGCAACCATCTCTATCAGTTTTGTAGATGCAAATTTGCCATTTTGTTATCTAAAAAATAATGCTATATATTAGATTTGTCATAAAAGTGGAATAAAATAAGAATATTTCTGCCATAATATTTATATTAGATTTGTCATAAAAATGGAAGTATGTTGTAATTGATGTCAAAGTAACCGTTTTTTTGCCAAAAAAGTTGACAAAATATGAACCCAGTATACAAAAAACTGTAAAAACGAAAGGAATTTCTCATAAAAAAGTTAACAACATAAAAAGATAATTTTGCCATCTTTTATAAAAAATGAACATTATATTGGCAGTTTCTTTCATAATATTTGACAATTCGTTTCAAAGAAAACAATATTTTTCTGTCATAATGTCATATGAAAATCTACCATATAATTGACAATACTGTCAAATGGATGTCAAAATACACATTTTCATCCATAATATATTACATGAAACTGTCATAAATTTGGCAAAATATGAACCCAATATCGAGAATCGAAAAAATAGAGTTTTTAACCAAATCAAAAATTTATTGAAAATCAGAAATCTGAACTACAAAATCAATGCCCAAGAACCAAAAACGTTAATGGCAAGACTCAGCACATTGAATCAAATTGAAAAGTTCTACTAAAAAACAAGGAAATTGGTGAATAATTCGATTTTGTAAATGCAAAATGGGGGGAGGAAGAGGAGGAGGAGGATGAGAGTGAGGATCGTGGTTAGGGATGGACTAAACCGGGTCGGCCCGACCCGGAACCGGCCCGGCCCGTTACTGTTTGGGCTCGGACCGGACCGGGACTGGTTGTCCGGTTCCGGGCTTTTAGCCCGTTTGGGCGGGTCGGGCGGGCCAGGCTCAGGCCCAACTTTTGGTGAACCGGCCCGGACAGTTCAGGCCGGGCCCGGTTCAATTTTTTTTTTCAATTTTTTTTGCTTTTATAGGTTAGGGTTGGGTGTTTTGGAGGGGTTTGGGGTGGGGGTGAAGGGGGGAGTCGGGTGTTAATTAGAAACCAAAAAAAAATTGAACTTGACCCGGGCCCCGGGCCGGCCCGGTTCGGCCCGGACCCAGTATCAACCCGGGCTGGTTCCGGGCCCAACATTTTGCAAAAAAAGCCCGCCCGGGCCCGACCCGGAATCGGAACAGGACCGGCCCGAGTCCATCCCTAATCGTGGTGATGGAGAACCAGAGAGTAGGCGGCGACAGTGGACAACCAGCAACCCATAAACAACGAAGTCAATCGGCAGAGAGATGAACCATTGAAATCGAGATCGAGAGAGATGCAGGGGAGAGGCGCAACTGCTTAGATCGTGATGGAGATGAGAGGCACAGGGAGTTGAGCGATAGAAATTTAGGGTTGTAATATTATTATATAAAAAGGTATAATGGTAATCCAGAGTCCTATTTAGGGAATAAAAAACGTTTGGTCCTATTTGTGCATTTATTTTTAGTATTAATCCTATATAAGGCCATTACTTTTAAAAGATAGTTAAAAGTCATAATTTAATGTTTAATTCATAATAAATTCGAAAAAAAATTAAAAATCATAGAAAAAAAAATATTTATAAAATAAAAAATTACGTGATTTTTTATTTTTAAAAAAATCTAAACAAAATTAATAAAAAATAGTAAAACTCCATAAAAAATATGGATGCCTTTCCCACTGCCTGTACTGCCTCCCTGCACCACCTCTGACCGGTGTAAAAAAATGCCAATTTTTCTGAAAAATCCAAAAATATGGCATATTACTCTTTGAAAATGCCAAAATATTCATTAAATCTGCTGTAAATATGACATTCCTAATGCATGTGGAATTTTTTTCCCCAGTTACCGGAGATGGTGGTGTTGGGGCGGCAATGTTTTTAGTTTTTTAAAAAAATAATTTTTTAAATTTTTTAAATTTATTAAATTAGATGCCTTTCCCACTTCTTGTACTGCCTACCTGCACCACCACCTCCCACTGGTGTAAAAATGCCTTTTTTTCTAAAAACTGCCTCTTTGCTAGTGACTGGAGGTGGTGGTGCTGGGGCGGTAATGGCGGCAACGATTTTTTTTATTGTGTAGTAAGTTTTATTATTGAAATATTTTTATTAATATTTTAGTATTTTTACGATTTTTTATTATTCTTTACTCCCTCCGTTCTCTAATACTTGACCCTCTTTCCATTTTGGGATGTTCTCTATTAGTTGTCTCACAATCCACTTTTGGTAAGTTTTTTCAATAAATATACTCATTTACCCTCATTCTCTTTCCTACTTTTTCATTCTCTTTCCTACTTTTACCTTTACACACAACTCACTACACCTTTTATCCTACCCCTATTAATTCCTTCTTAAATCTTGTGCCAAAAGCTATACTCCCATCTATTAGAGAACGGAGGGAGTATTATTTTTTTATGAATTAAAACAATTCAATAGCATCAAGGGTATATTTGTCCAACACAGACATAATTTAGTCCTATTTGGTCTTATCAAAACATAGTTTACTTTTTGGTCCCATTTGTGCAAAGTGAGAAGCTTTTAGTCCTATTTTGATAATTAACTCAAAACTTATATGTAGATAGTTTGAACTTTCATATTACGGAGTATTACATATTTTGGTGTAATAAGTTCTGTTTACTCATTCTGTTAATTACATACTATCTACATCTCACTAATTGATAAAGTAAGAATGATTTAAAAAATAATTGTTTTTGTTTAAGAAAAGTAGATATATCATATATGTGGTTAATATTAATTATTAAAGTAAGAATGATTTTGAACTACACAAATTTTACCAAATTTGGTATGAGACAATTTTAGTAGGATTTCGTAAAAAGATAAAATGAAACAATATTAGCAGGTCAAAGAAAGTAGTATTTTATACTACAATAAAGAGTTCTTGTAAGCCCATCTAGGCCCAACCCTATTAGTGACAATTGGGTCAATCCGGCCTAGTCCATGAAGTCAAACTATATAGACAGGCTAGTGCTAGCGTCCATTAAGGATGTTTTTACTTGGACTGTAATTTATCCCAGACCAGACCAGTTCAGACCAGACTTAGATAGTTATAAAAATACGAAGAAACCAGACCAAATCAGTTCAGACTAGACCCGACCAGATCAGACCAGCAAATTACAGTCTAAGTAAAAACATCATAATTATTCCCTCCGTCCCAAATTGTTTTGCAAAGTCAACATTTTTTGGTCAACCAATAAAAAAAGTCAATGCTCCTTATAGATAATTAATTCAATTTTTAATAATTAAAATTTATATATTCAGAAACTACATTAAAAGCTCTTCAATGTTGTAAACTCCAAATTAGAGATGGACCGATTCCGGTTCGGACCCGGTTCGGGCCTGGGCCCGGCCAGGCCTCGATTCATGAAGGGGAGGCCCAGAACCGGCCCGGGTAAACCCCGGGTCCAGGCCGGGCCGGGCCTCGGTTCTATTTTTTTTTTTTTTGGCTTTTCATAGTTAACCCCCAACCCTCCCCCTCACCCCCAAACCAACCCTAACCACCTCAAATGGCCCAAAATACCCAACCCAACCCAAAAACTTAAAAAAAAATCAAAAAAAAAATTGACCCGACCGGGGCGGTTCACCTTTTGAAGGGCTCGAGCCCGAACCACCATCCCACCGGGCTGGGTGGCCCAAACCGGCCAACCAACCAGTTCACCGGGCCGGTCTGGGCCCGCACACTAGCAGGCCGGTCCGGTTCTGGGCCGGTTGGCCCAGCCCGAGTCCACTCCTACTCCAAATTAGAATATAATTAAAAACTAACATCCTAATTAAGTAAATAAAATGAAACTGTTTGACAAAAAAAGTCAAATTTGCAGATCAATTTGAGACGGAGGTAGTAGTTTTTATATATTGAGCGCAGCCCGTATTTCTACGGTGGTATTTATTGCCATAATGAAAAGTTAAATACTTTATGTTTTAAAAATATTCAACCTCAAAGAGCTGCTTAGTATGCATTCAAGTTTAGATAAAACGTCCATTAAAAAACAACACATCAGTACATCACTGCCGCCGCGTTTTTCATCCCAATCTTTCAAAGCTGGGACAGATTTTTGTACTTGCCTCAACTCCACCTTCTTTCATCCTCTTCCTCATCAACCGGGACATACCAAGAAGGCCTTTGGTTTTTTGAGTTGCTCAATCTGTAATTCAATAGCACTTCCTCATCACAAATAGGTCTAGTAGCAACAAGAACAAGAGACTTAAGGATTGGGGTGGCTAGATCTGCCCCACTACCACTTGATTTCCAAGATTTAAACCAGAAGCTGCCTACTTTCTTCATCTTCACCTCCCCATTTCCAAAACAGACATTCGGAATGTAAGGTCGCAAGTCCTCATTTTCAGCACTAAGGGGAAAATCATAGGAACAGATCATGACATTTGGGGCCATGTCCTTTGCGGGGTGATTAGCGAAATGTGCAAAAGCCAACGGGTTTCTCCTCTCCAACACTTCGCCTACTTTATGTCCCGAGCCTCTTGAGGCATCCAAGGGTTTACTAAGCATTGCCCAGATTCGGTCAGACCCAGTTTCATCTTTAACAGGAGGAGACATTGTCTGTGATCCATCCCACATTTCACGAGCTTCACCACCAGCACCCCAAGGCTTTGCATTGATCACTGCCCCATCATACCTGCTGATCAAGTACGGATTATGAGCATCGACTCTTGGATATCCGGGGATGTAACGGTAATATGCAGGAGAGTAGACCACACCAGGATAAAATGCTATAACAGCACCGAGATCAGCTTCCCCATTCAAAAATAAACCTTGGCCAGCATTTTCATGAAGAATTTGAGATGGTTTTACTTCGAGAGTGTAGCCAATTAGCTCCCTCAAGCTCTGAGAAACCTCTGCACGCTTTAGACCCTTGGTTTGAGGAACAGCTGCACTGCATGCAAATACGTGTGCGGTTAGATTAAAGGAGCTATCTAGTCACCATATCCAATAAAGTTCATAGACCTTGTCCTAATAATGGTTGTCTCATACAATCTCTGGAAGTCAACTTTGTTTCACTTGACCCCACATAATTTCTGTTTCATTGCAATAGTCTGAACTCTGAAGGGGTCACATGAAAATAAATAAAGCGGGAACAATTAATCAAAAGTGAAATGAGCTTGGAGATTGTGTGTTTATTTTTATGACTTTAAATGTAACCAAAAAAAACAGTCCCATTTATTCCTACCAATTGAATCCACAACAATATTAAAGTGTAACCAAGTGAAAATTTCCTTTTCTTTTACAATGTAATCTATGCTTGAGAGGATGAACGATTATCTGGGCAGCACAGTATATGATTTCTTTAGAGGAGGACAAGTATGATTCCTTTAGAAGAGTGGTATTTGTAGGGCTAGAAGGTGATTTTGTTGATGTCGGATAAATTTAATTACAGAACATCTCACGACAAAATGTATATCCAATGCTCCAAACAGTCAAAAAAGAGTTCGAGGTCTTTATCTAATTTCAGATGCAGCACAAATTTGACTTGTTCACCAGGCAAGATCATTTCAATTCTCCTACTGGGAAAATGTTAATCACGCTTGCTAACTGTTGGGGTGAAAATTTCAAAAGATCATAGTATAGTAATTACCAGCTAAATAATTTAAATTGTCCAACTCATAATCATTTATAATGTGGGAACACTGGAGAAGAGAAACACAATAACAACTTGGAAAGAACACAGAAAAAATATTGGGATGCATTCCCTTTTGGGTCCTTCACTTCGTTCTCTTCAACATTTCAACCGCTATACTTTAGCAGTGGTCACAATCGTCACTTGACTACCAAAGTTTAGAAACCATAGTCCCTCCATAAGTAGTGATGTAAAATATGGACAAAGTCCACGACACAGGGTCTAAAAGTGGCTAACATTGTATAGGTAAATGACTAATCATTTCTGACTTCATGATTTGTTCGTTTTTCCAGAAAGATGAGATATGGTATGAGCTTTTCAAGATCTGGTCTGAATCGATTTGCTCTGGTCTGAATATTAGGTGTTGTTGAGAACCTTTCTTATCTGGTATGGATGTTTCTGGTCTGGACTGAATGTTTCTAATAAGGTTTGGTCTGAATATTTCTGTACTGGTTCATCTGGATGTTTGTAGTATGGTCTAGTTTTATCTGAACGCTTTTGGTGTCTCAATAATAAAAATGAGTACTAAGCATAAAAACAGGGTTTATAGAACTCCCCTTAGTCCATCAATTATGAATGCATCTATTATTAGTCCCATCAACTAAATTGACCATTTCTATAGAGAACTTGCTGGCTGTTAATATTACTATGTATTACATAATCAAGAAAAGATGCAGTCTTTGGTATCAAAGGTTGAAGTACTTATTACCATTAAGCAAAGAGGTTAAAAGGAAGAGGTTTTATATATAAATGTATTCTCTACATGGTGTTAAATGAATATTACCCACTGAAATGGTATGATAGGTAAAATTACATGAAAATTGATTATCAGTTTTACTCTTCTGATAGTCTGATACTCTGATGCAAACCACACACACACACACATGCAAAAAGAGTCTGTTTGAAGAATGAAATGATAGAATAGTGCTTACCAGAGCAATTATTCAATGGAGAACTTCCACCAACAGCAAGACTAAGACCTCCACGACGAGGAGGGCTACTAGATTCAGAAGGTGAGTGAGGCTCAACATGGCTCTTTACATCAGGCAATAGTAATTCATCCATACAGGTACAAAAGGTTTTAATTTGAGAATGCACATTTTCTTGAACCTGCTTTTGCTGATCAACTAGTGGGGCGTTGCTAGCCATATCAATTATCTCTTCTACATCTTTTTCATCAGCACCCTTCCCCAGACGGTGATGGCTGAAAATAAGGTATTATGATGAGAAGTGAGAGCATAAAATGTAGAACCTATGAATTTGAGTCATCAATTCTTCACTCCACACATGCCAGCATACATGAGAAATACGCTTTGTTTATCAAACAAGACTCTTTCTTGGGATAAAAATGTATATGAACCATGACTCTTTTGGGGGAGGGACTGATCGAATATAAAACAATATGAGTAATGATAGACACGATTAAGAGTCTTAGAACATAAGAGTGGCAGACTGGCAGTGGGGCATGTTGAAGCTTGACCTTTGTCATCTTCCATATGCAAAAAAAAGAAAGAAAAAACTGGATACTAGTCAGTAGTCACTGCAAATATAACATCACATATCAAAACCCATGTTGTAAATGTCTTCTTCATATCTTTTAGTAAGCTCAAGCTTCAAGATGAGAATGTCTACCTAGATGCTATTGAAGAAAAATCTGATTACACCATCAAAAGATATGTAATTGCTTCAATGATCATTTTAAACTTTTCTAGCAAGGACAATCCGAAAATAATCAAATGAAAGTTAGTCATTCTACTACAATTATACTAAACATACATATACAGTATCACTTATTAGCTCAACAAACTTTTGAATAAATTTCAAACTCGATAGTCCACTAATTTCTCCTGCTTACCAAGTATATAGGAAAAGGCGATTGATATCCGACTGGAACTGAAAATGCCTAGGATCTCTTGAAACTGTGGGGCTTTTAGCAAGCACCTTGACAGCCTAAAATTAAATCAAAAGGATGGAAATTTCAGTACAAAATGATGTTTCAGATGCCCCATTTCTATTGTCATTGCCAGAGTAAAACATGGGCACGCCAATACCAAATGAAATTTGATAATGTCAAAATGCTGAGATTTGCAAGTATATCAAATATTTGAAATTTCAGAAAAGGCATGAAATTTCACGGTGGAGGGGATGATGGGGCGTAACCTCTTGAAATTTGTTAAATAGAAAGGCCATGGAGAAGCCGCTGAGGTGTTTCGTTATGACTCCTTGCAATTTTGAGCTCAACTCTGCGGCAACCTACATCTGTGAGCTGTGTGGACTTCTGGAAATACTCCCAATATGATAATCGAAGCTCTGGGAACCCTAGTCGGGATAACCCATCTTACGGAGTAGATTTTCAACCAGCAAAGTGGTAAAAATAAAAACAGAAGACGGGAAGAAAGATTGGAAAACTGTTGTATCTCACTTATTCTCACGGACTCGCACTATCTCTGCACTTTTGAGTATACAATGTACATTAATACTACCTTCTTCCCGGAATTATCTCCTTATTTGACTGGGCACGGGTTTTAAGATAGTGGGAAATGTGTGGTGGAGAGTTGTGCAGAGGAAAGAGAAATGTGTAAGAATGGTTGTGAACCACAAATTCTTTGCCAAAAAAGGAAAAGGAGATAAATTTGGGACGGACCGAAAAGGAAAGAATGAAGATAATTCCGGGACGGAGGGAGTAATAAACTAATAATTCCATGATATCTCTAGTAAGGGTCATCCTACGGTGCCTTTGAAAATTTGGAAGGTATGGCGCATCTCATTGTGTGGGCAAATGAAATAGTGACATATGGAAATAGGGTCACATGAAATAGTGTCATTAATGAATTGACTTGAAATGCTATTGGCTAAGGAAGACAAATGTATGGTACACTCCAAATTTGAAGAGGTACCATAGAAATCTCTCTCTAATAATTCATAAGAAGTACTAGTATGTTTTTAATTGGACTAAACTTTGTTCTTTGATTTAGTCTGCTCCAATTTGATAATTATCTGATCAGTATGTATTTCATAATTGTTCCATTCTGATTTGGTCTAAATTGGTTTGGTCTGTTTTGGTCTGGTCTGCTTTGATCTGCTTACACGTTTGATAATAATTCTAATTTGTTAGTTGTTCACAAAAATAAACATTCATTCACCTAATAGTGTTACCTTTCCATTATGCTGATTTATTTTTGCGAGATCTTTAACAAGTTGAACTTATTTAGATACTCCCTTTTTTTTCAAAATAATTTCTTACTTATCATTTTGAGATGTTTCAAAAAAATCTTCCATTTCTCCTTTTGAGAAATTTTATGTGACTAACATTCATTTACTTTTTATGTAATCACAATTATACACTTTCGCTTTATTAACACTTTCTTCATTTTCGTGAAATGATTAGTGAGTTGAAATTATTGTGTTTAGTTGTGATTCGAAATGATTAAATTGATTACGAAATGATTCGTGAAATGATTACGAAATGATTCGTGAAAAAGTTGAGATTAGTTGTGTTTAATTTTCAAACATGGGATTATTGATGTCCAAATACAATAATAATAGTTATAATAAAATGATAAGTATTACTCCCTTCACTCGTTAAAAATGTCACATCTTTTCTTTTGTATTGGTCCCACTAACATTGTCTCATACCTAAATGGGTAATGTTTTTATTGTTCTAAATCATTACAACTTTATTTTTATTTTATCAATTCAATATCAATCATATAAACTCACTTTTAATTTTATACCCACACTCTCATGTTGTACCAATGGAAGGGGGCGGAAACAGTATTTCTATTGTGTCCCGCAAGATGGAAGATCTAGAAGGAGGAACTTCAAGCGTTAAATGTAAACCTTAATGGTAGCACGGATATGGGTTGGTAAGTAATTCGACAACTAATTTTCGAATAGAACATGAACAACCCGAAGAATACCATAAATTGCTTATGAGGGCTCTAGGAGATGGCATTCGTATCGAGAAAGATAACAAATACACATTAGCTGAAGTCATTCTAATTGTCTTCCCAATCACCACCAGAGAAAGCATGCAATGACATAAAAGAGAAGAAGATCGCCATATAAGGATATCGTGATTGTCAGTGTGCAAAAGGTAGCGTATAAGACGCATTATAGCCTTTCCGTTCATCTCCTTTAGAGTACATGAATTAAAAGGTTTCATAAAAAATACATGAGAGATATGGACATCAGGACATGTAAGAGCTAAGTAGTGAAGACAATCGACCATACAATGATAATCTTCAAACAAGAAAAATATATTTTCTTGAAAATTGACAGTGATGTCTTCATCAAGCAATATAATCATATTAAAATGTGTAGAGAATAATCATAACTTTGTGATGTGTTTTTGTGTTTGAGTTGGATTTTTTATGGTAAGAGAAGAACTTTATTACTCAATTAAATCGTTCTGGATCAGACTCACAATAGACTCGGAATTTGCCTATATCTAACTTTATGACCTGTCATAGAAATGCATGCCCTTGCCAAGGTATGAGCAACACGATTCGCAGATGTTTTACAAAAAGAGACACGGAAACTACTATATCGTTTAAGAAAAATTCTAATATCATCCAGAATCAAAGCTAAATACGAAGACCCGCCCTCCTTTTGAATGCCCTGGATCACCATTTAAGCATCAATCTCGATGTCAATATACTACCATCCTTCTTCTTCTAGGTCGGGCACCAAGAACGCTGCTCTCACTACCCATGCTTCTGTTTCCGTTGGTGTCAACTGAGCTTCTATGGATTCATGCCCTCCACAAATGAAACTTCCTTCCAAATGTCTAACAACCTAGCTCCAAGCCTTAATTCCTTTGACTTCATTAACAGTCCCGTAAACATTTATTTTTATCCATCCCGCCTACGGACGTTGCCATCTCTCTCCCTTCAAGTTGGGCATGCCTTCCATGGGGAGCTGTCTGATTCCTCGAGTAAATTGAGCTTCCCGCCACCCTCTCATAGATGCTCACGCACATTGTTGGACAACTGCCTCACCTACCTCCTCATTCCTCCAAACCAACATGTTTCTACATACGCTTCCAAATGTTCCACATAGTGTCACGCCCCGGACCTAGCCGGACACGTCAACAACCCGCCGCACAGTACGAATAGTCAACCGCAGTCCAACTCATCCATACTATACAAGGCGTCATGAATATCATTCACACATAGTACATCCATAAACAAACATAATGTAAATCATTCATTTAAAAAAGCGGAAACAACATTACAAGTGTACAAGCCACACTTGGCAAACATGGGTATACAAACCCCCGAAATGTATATTCAGAAAATAATATCCATGAGCATTATTCATATTGTTTTCAAAACAAGAACGGAAGAAGCACGAACCAAGTCTTCTTCTCAGAAACTTCCCGAAACAGCGGCTGATAGTAGCAACCTTCAAATTCTACCTGAAACTGTGAGGTGGCCTCCCCCGTGAAGGGGAGGTCAGTACTTGGAAGCATTTGACAAGTACAATGACAACTATACTAAGTATAATCGAAGTTTAAATCTCTGAGGCCCTCAATCTAGAGCATTAATACATTATAGTTAATCCGTTCATTTAGTATCAATTCATCATTATTTACTACGGTCTAGAGCCCAACTCATAATCACCGTTATCTACTACGGTCTAGAGCCCCGCTCTGTCACGCCCCGGACCTACCCGGACACGTCAACAACCCGCCGTACAGTACGAATAGTCAACCGCAGTCCGACTCATCCATACTATACAAGGCGTCTTGAATACCATTCACACATAGTACATCCATAAACAAACATAATGTAAAACATTTATTAAAACAGCGGAAACAATTGATACAAGTGTTCAAGCCACAATTGGCATAATTAGGCATGCAAGCCCCCAAAGTAATTATTCAGAAAATATTATCCATGAGCATTATTCATATTGTTTTTTTTTCAAAACAAGAACGGGAGAAGCACGAACCAAGTCTTCTCCTCAGAAACTTCCCGAAGCAGCGGCGGGTGGTAGCAACCTTCAAGTTCTACCTGAAACTGTGAGGTGGCCTCCCCCGTGAAGGGGAGGTCAGTACTTGGAAGCATTTGACAAGTACAATGACAACTATACTAAGTATAATCAAAGTTTAAATCTCCGAGGCCCTCAAACTAGAGCATTATTACATTATAGTTAATCCGTTCATTTAATATCAATTCATCATTATTTACCACGGTCTAGAGCCCAGCTCATAATCACCGTTATCTACTACGGTCTAGAGCCCCGCTCATAATCACCGTCATCTACAACGGTCTAGAGCCCAGCTCATAATCACCGTCATCTACTACGGTCTAGAGCCCAGCTCATAATCACCGTCATCTACTACGGTCTAGAGCCCAGCTCATAATCACCGTTATCTACATCAGTCTTGAGCCCGGTTCATAATCACCGATTCTTTATAATTCAAATTCTTAGGATCTAATTCATCCATTTCTCAACTAACATTTCCAACTAATATTTCAATGCTAGTTATTTATTTATTTCAATATAATTCTTTCTTCTTGCCCAATTGGCCTTAATATCAAGTATCACTTTCATACCCTCATAGCTTCTCCTCATGGCATCAAAGTATACTATCTCAAATGATATTCATGGTTGGTACAACCATCATACACACATATTCATAGCATCTAAACATACACAATTTATTCATAAATTTGTGTATCATGCATACTATACTTATAATCAATAGTAGTTTCATTTAGGCATTAGTAACCATTAACAACTCATACACATCACATTTGTATTCACGTTGGAAATTAACCCAAAGATTATGAGTAACATAGTCGGTCATCCTCACCTTAATTAAGCTTAAGCGTGTTCTACGTTTCTTGATTGAACTTTGACCAACTCCGGCGAACTTTGACCAACTCCGACGAAAGTCCGGAGAGGCTCAAAAATACTTTAAATCAAGTTCCTAACAAGGTTTTATCATCACAAAACCCATATCAACACAAATAACCTATAAAAGGTTATTTTCCGGTAAACCGGTCGATTTGGCTTCTAAGTCCGTTTTTGGACTTAGAATCACTTTCCAACCCATTATTCCACACTTAAATCATGTAGAACAATACTAAAGGCCTTTCATATGATATATATCTTATATGCTAGAAGAAAAACAAAGGAAAAGTTATGATAAGGTCATTACCTTAATTTTCACACTTTTTCCTAGCTTTTTCCTTCTTAAACTTCCTTCTTGAACTCCCTTGAGCTTGAGTTCGGATTTGGGCTATGGAGATGAGAAGTTTCAGAGCCTCTCCTTGCTATCCTAGGGTGCTGAATTGTGTGGGTGGAGATGGTGAGGTGAGGGGGTGGTTTTTGTCTCATTTAGACAAATGAGTGAAGGGAGGGGGTCTACTACATGTCAAAGGTGTCTCCCACATCCTCTCAATTGTTGTTCAGCCAAATTGGCACTCATCCAGCCCTCAAGGGTTG